ATTACTGTCGAAAAAAAAAAAAAAAACAAAAAAAAAAAAACACCAAACAAACAACAAAAAAAAAAACAAAACAAAAAAAACATCAGGCCTCTTTATGAATGCATTGGCTTAAGAAGGGGTGAAGAGGGGGCGGCTCTTTTTTCTCTTTCTGTGGAGGTGGTGGCATTTTCGGCCAAGTGCAGAGTTTTTTTCATGGAAAGGGGTAGTAATATTCTCGGTCAGCCCCGGGCAGCACTATTAACCCTGGCTGCGCCACTGCCTCGATGAGCGTCTTACATGGAGTTAAGGTGGTAAAGTTGTGATTAAAAACGCAAAAAATTCGTCAAAATTGGGATTAAACCCAATCAGAACCAAAAACAAAGAAACAAATCCACACACGGAAAAAAAATGACAACATAAGCTTTCGTTAAAAAAAACCCACACAATTTCTCTGGCATTTTAATGAAAGACTTCAATACAAAGGAAAGATACCATTACGACTATAAACCTTTGGGAGGCTATTCCCTGCTCTTGGCCTTCGCGTTAACACCGGTGTACACAAGTAAAACGATGAGAACGAACAGTGCCACGATGACAGGAACCGTGATTCGCCAGAAGTTCTTCTTATTCTCCATGTACTCTAACTTTCTGGCCCTTTTGTCTTTTCGTGTTTCTTTGTTGGGACCGATGGATCTCATTTTTTATTTTTTTTTGGTCTCAGCTTGCCCTGAAAATGAACATGAAACACAAAAGTAGGGACCTGCCACTAAGATTAAAGGTTGTTATTATTTATTAGCGCTGATTTAAAGGTTGGGGGGGGGGGTAGGGGTAGGGTTTCTCCTACTCCCTTTGATGTTTACATAATATATAAACATAAATTACAAGACTGCGGAAAAAGTAGAAGCAACCGCCAACTCGTGTAAATAAAAAATGCAACCAAAAAAAAAAAAAAAAAAAAAAATAAAACTTAAAAAAATAACAATTTCATTTAAGTTTCCAACCCGTAGTGGGTTTAAAGAAGAGAGAAACTTGTCAACATCACCTGATATTCAGATGACTAGGGACCTGCCATTAAGATTAAAGGTTGTTATTATTTATTAGCGCTGATTTAAAGGTTGGGGGGGGGGTAGGGGTAGGGTTTCTCCTACTCCCTTTGATGTTTACATAATATATAAACATAAATTACAAGACTGCGGATAAAGTAGCAGCAACCGCCAACTCGTGTAAATTAAAAATGCAACCAAAAAAAAAAATAAATAAAAAAATAATACTTTAAAAAAAGAAGTAGAAATTACGAAGCTTTGTTTTTCGAGTCATTGTGACCACACCTGCCTATTTGACGCTTTACTAGGAAAAAAAATGCACACATTTATGAACTACTAGCGGATATGCAGCCTCCCAGCTGAGAGGTTCTTGGGATTTTTTTTTTTGGGGGGGGGCTAGGTAACCCACCGGAAGGGGGTCCCGGGGGGGAGCTTCCCCTGAGCTGAGGAGAAAACACCACCCACCAGTGCGGCACCTCCATGCTGCCTTCGTCACTGTTTCCTCTTTGCTCGCGTGTAACGACTAACCATATTGATCATTCCGCTACTAGAGAAAATGTGGACTTCTGAAAGATATGGACTTGCAAGTTGTAGGCTTTAAAAAAAGCGCCCGGCGGGCGGTCAACTAGTTTGCCTATGCCTAAGAAAGGCTGTGCTCCCATTCCTGTCCTCTCATCCCCACTATTATTGATTCAACACACCATTGAGCCTACGAGGTGCCTACACTCAGAAGACGCGTGTACTGTTCAACGCGATGCACTACAACAAGAGTTGACCAAATAGACGTCCCTCATTTTAAAACCGAACTAGACGAGGTCGCATTTTTTAAATAGTAGGCCTATATAACATTTTTATAGTAAATATTCTAACGGGAATCAACGAAAATTTTACATTTTTTAAATAAGTAAAATACACACATTTTTAATGAATTCTTTTCAACTCAAAATAAAAAAATTTAATGGCAAAATAAAGATTTATTGTTCTTACTTCGGTTAATTAAACATTTTTGTCAATAAAACAATATATGTTCAGCTTTAATAATAATTACTTCCGGGCAAATTTAATAAACATAAAAAAAAACTGGATAAGAGATATAGGAAGGGGGTGATGAGGGTGCGGGCCGCCCTGGGTGGCACTTTTTTTTACTTTTTATTGATGGGCTGAATTTTTCACGGAAGTGGTGGCAAAAATCTTTGACCGTCCGGGTGGCCCTCGCCCTAGCTACGCTATTGGTAAGAATTATATACATGATGAGAGAAATATTTGAGTGGTAGCAACAAATTAGAGAGCATTTTTTAAAATAAATGCTGTTGTATTACGGTTGGCCAACTTAAATAAACTAAGTTATCAACATATAGTTAAACGAATTTTACGTCAGTGATTTACAAACGTTAAATAAGTACACCCCGTATTAAATATTGAAGCAAAATTTTCGGTATCCCCTTTAAAATGTTTTAAAAGTAACGTTTTATTTTTATGTACATATGATTTTAACTGCATCTAAGAAATACATACCAACACACAGTAAGAAAAAAAATATATTAAATATCAAGCGAAATTCATCAAGTAATAATTATTATAATTTAGACAACATACAGTCCGCGTTTCAATAAGATACTATTTAACGTCCAACATTTGGTATTTATATAAATCTACATGACATACTTTCAAATTACGCATGCGCAATCATATCAGTATCATTTTAACCAATGGCTTTGCCGCACACATGGGCCTCGAATAGCTGACACACTGATAGAGGGTCACGTGATAACTTCTATGTTTACCCCTTTCTAAATGATTGTACAGTTGCATCATTACTTTTAGTGATGCATAAATATTTGAATATGAGCAAAGACACATTTTAAATAAGAATGCAAGGGATACGAGAATAACCTGGTTACTCTAGTCTAAATTCTAAAGTGACTAAAGTCAGGGTAGACCCGGCGCATACCTCAGAGAGACACAGTACTGACCCATTGGAATCCTTGAAAGATTTATAAAATAAATATTAATAAAACTTAACATCTTATCTATAATGTTTGAATCAGAACAGCTGCGACCTCTTTAGAGGTTTCCATATCCCTCATGGTATCACTTTCAATTGATAGTAGAGGCAGATCAGAAAGCCTTGACTGTCTCATGGTGGATAAATAAATAGGTCTTGATAAAACTTAGTTTTAAAAAGCTCCGTTCACATGAAGCCACAGACACACAGATCGTAAGAAACAATTGAAGGCTTAGCGAGAGTATTGTAAGAGATTCTAGGAAGTCCCACTCAGCTATGAATTTCAATGCATCAAATACTGACCAGTCCTTGAATTTGTGAAATCCAATATCAGCTGCCTTTAGTGTCTTCTAAGTCTTGGTATTTCTTTTAAAAGTTCATCGTCTGATAACTCATCATAGAAAGAGGTTACGTTTGGAACGGACAACAATCACTTTTCTTCACTTGCTGATGGTAGACTCTTGAGTTGAACAGCCCCAAACTTATCTGATACTACTTTGATCGCTGATGATCTGATCTGGAGCTCGGAATGAAAGCGAACAATGCACTCCAACATCTCCCTACTGTCGCAGAAAGGGTCCAGCATCTATTAATTGTTCTCCTTTCATTCTCTTCTAAAACCTTAATCTTCTTCTCTACTGAAATTCCATTTTGGTCTGATTTTAAATTACATTTTCAATAGAAACAGCACTTCTCGTGCAGAAACAATCTGAAGGACTCTAGGTTGGTCACCACTTTTTCAAGAGTAAAGTTTTAGTCTGCAGATACTGCTGTGTTAGATTAACTTCCTCAAGTAGATCATCCCAACTGTAAAGGTAGCAGATAAATTAGACCCCAACAATTTGTGTCAATATAACAATATAAATTAAGCTTTAATAATAATTATACATAATATACATATAGCAAATAAACGTAAAATCACAGACAGTATGTAAAATACATTGTGCTGTATAAAACGTGAGCTCTAATGTTAAGAGGTAGTGCTAGTAACGAATTTATTTTTGAGTATTTCTGAGTTTTGATCGATTTGGTTTCAAAAACATATAAAAAAATTAAATTAATTATTTAAAGTTATTAGATAATTTTGTAAAAAAGTATTTTGCTAACTTTAAAAATGGGTGAAAATTCATTTTTTAATGTCTTTAATTTTTACTGATTCGACTCATTTACTTAGAATCGTCCGACTATATCGTATTTGGTTTCAGTTTCAGTGGAAAGCTTTGTTTCTAGAATTCAGATAAATATTGCTTCCTGTCATTTATGAAAGTTACCAAACACTTCATTGGGCGTGAATAATGCCAATAATGGTCAACAAGGTGTTTCTGGTACATCATCCTTGAACATTAAATAAAGCACGCATTTGGATTGGTTACACTTGTGTAAAATTTACTTGTAATCGTTTATCCTTTTATGAAATTCCGTTAGACCGAACGGTGTTTGCTCTGCCAATATGCAAATTTCAATTTGTTGTCACCCCATAAGATGGTGTCACCCGGTACGGTCCGCACCCCCGTTCTCCCCTAGCTAGGCCACTGAGTTAAAGTTAGTCTACCTATGTGAACTATGGAATATCTATGAAAATATTCATTCCATTGTTTTTGAAGATGGCGATTAAATTTGGGGTCAGACGTCACACTGTCGATACAAATTTAAATTTTAAATATTTGTAAATATATCATTACAATTTACAAATATTACAATATTATGTAATATATAATTATTGACTTTGGTTTAAAACATCACACATATTCATATATAACATTAAATCATTAAAAATAAGATGGACCGTTTTTGGTAAATATAATAAGTTAACATGGACTTGAGCATGAATGTGCATAATTAAACAAAAACCAGCTAGGAGTTGATGCACATATATATACAATGTCCATTTTGGTTTTATCCGCTATATTATCGGCAGATAGAGAAACCAAAAGTACTCTACCAAACTATTTTTAGCTAATCGGATAATGCCGCAACACCAAGCATTTTTCAGAGAAATTGAAACCGTCACATCTTTTGGCGAAAAGCAACATCATGATTATGATTAAAAAGGAGGATGGTAAGAAAGACAAACAAATCATTAACTACCCTTGCACTTGCAACAACAAAAAAATAAATTTATAGAACAAAACGACGTTGACTATTGGCATATGAGCATTTTCTCATCAAGAAAATAATAAATAATCAACTAAATATTAAAATCATTCAACTCATTCATTCACTTACTTTTCTCACGACACAGACACATTTCATGATTCCATGCATGTGACATATGAATCCCTCTCTCCATTTTATTTTAAAATAAAAATATTGGCATATTTATTCACACTTTTGAAATTTTAATTTAGAGAATATTGTTGTTCAATTTATGTAGGCCATTTAATTATATTATCTTCGTCAATTTTGAGGGCTTCCAATTCCAATCGATCATCCATGTATTGACCATTCTGGCTACTCCTATTATTAATCAAATGCTTTTTGATACTGGTACTTACATCTGTGATAATATTTTAAGGGCTATCATAATTAGCCTACTTCATAGCACACACGTCTATTTTTCCCATTGTAACCAAAGATTTTTTAAAAAAAATTTAGTGTTCACACACAGTGGCGCAGCTAGGGTTAGTGCCAGCTGGGGCGTATCAAGCTTTTTGCCGCCTCTTCCATGAAGCAGCCTGCATGCACCGTTTTAATGATTTTTCTCAGACCTGCTGTGCGGGACAGGGCAATCCATTCAAGTGCACGTGGACCGAACAAAAAATTGTTAAAAGTTACGTTAAAAATCTTTTGAAAACAAGTGCCAGTATGTCGTTCTGGTGCGTTTTAAGAAAAAAAGCCCTTTTATTAACCATTATTTATGTCTTAGGTCCATTTATGATGAAGTTATATGTCAGTTTTAGACCATCATTGAAACCAGTTAATCAGATTCTCTTGTCGTATTAGTTCGTTAGTTGGGATGACATGATGAGGGCTTTGAGAGCACTTTTTAAAATAAATGCTGTTGTATTACTGTTGGCCAACTTAAATAAACTAATAATCAGATAATTCTTCTTCCCATCCCCCATCACCCAAACTGAAAAAAATTCTTATGGTAATGCCCCCCCCCCCCGACACAACCTTACAGACACATACACTTGACTGGTAATCTCATATTTTGGCACAGTTAAGTTAAACACCATCGACCAGTGAGAATCATTAAACGTTTTATTAAAAAAAAACTCCCTGTTTACTTGATAGAAACTCATTATGACACTTCAATAGTTAATTGTAAAAATATTTGGGGCCGTCTATAAAGTACGTCACACTATTTTTGACCATTTTCACCCCCCTCCCCCCCCCCACCACCCGTCACAAACCTCGGCAACCCCCACCCCCCCCCCCCCCCCCCCCCCCCCAAGTACATCACACTTTCGAACAAAACTTTTTAAAAATTAACACCTAATTAAAATTTAATCTAACACACTTCACTATTAAACTGTATTAAAATATACAATTTCCACTTAAAAGAACTATCACATTATTAAAATTACTTTTATAGTAGAATAGTTAATTGTCAACAGTTGTCAAGTTATTCATTGAAGCAGTAACTCAATCTAGATTGAATTTGAAAACAAAAATTGCAAAAATTAGACTAGACAATTATATAATACACATCATTTATCTGCTGCTTTTTCATTTACAAAAGGTGAGGTCAAGTTTTAGATAATTTCCGAGTATGCAATCTTTTTACACAGGATAAGAAGTAAATTAGCGAAACTTGACCTCACACAGTGATTACATAATAAAAAGGAAACAAAACAATTTGACTAAAAAAAAGACTAGATTGACAAATTTTGTGACAAACTCTTGTGCTATATTGAATCTGTTTATTATGGGCCTGTGAATTATGTTTAATTCAAAAATATTCACTGGACATCATCCATCGATGGTGAAGTGAAGTGTTCATCCATAGTTAAGAATGGCATCAATCTTTCACCATCATGGTTTCCTGGAAGGATAATTGCATACAGATCAACTTCATCCTCATCTAGCCACTCAACATCCTCTGAATGTGCATTTTCTCTTCTGACAATAACTGCCATGAGTTCTCTTTGCCTTCTAGCAGCGATTCTCAAAGGACTGATGCGTTTTATCTGAGATGATTCTGGAACAGTTTGGGTCGGCACATTCTCTCGAGCCCGAGCTCTGTGTTGTCCTGCATGTTTCTTCGACATTGTTTGTGAGGCAAAGTATAAGTGACACACTTTGCAAATTTGATCAAGTAAGCTGGTCTGCAAAGATGGGCAATGAAGATCATATAGTTGTATTTTGAAAACTCCTGTTGATCTCGGTAAGGCTATACATAAAACAAGGCTTCGTAACAGCATACTAGTGCTCCTAGCGAGAGGAATCGTGAACAATACATTCAGGAGATGTGCATTTCATGCTATTTTGACATAAAACTAATTCAAATGTTTCACAAAATTTTTGAAAATTATTTTTAAAGCTATTAAATTCTACCTAAAAAAATAAAAAATAAATTAGAAATAAAATAAAAAAATAAATAAATGTGTGACGTCACACATGGCCTGACCCCCCCCTGTCACAAACTGTCACACTTTCTTAACCCCAGTCTCCCCCCCCCCTCTCTGGAGCGTGACGTACTTTATGGACGGCCCCTTTATTGTTTTCCTATTTTTCATGTATTTTTGTGGGTTTTGAGATTACCCGCTCCACCCATTGGAGAAATCCTAGATATGATAATAAAGTCCTTGGTAAATAATGTTCATCTTGTAAATTGTAAACGAATTATTTCTTTTGAACCTGCTTTCAGAAAAATGGAATCCACGTCCACGACAAAATGGTTTAGAGTGTTTGGTCAATGTGCAAGATGTGGGCAGTTCATGAAAACAAAATGCATGATTTTATGTCAACAATGCAATGAAGCCAAGTATGAGTTGAATTAACTAATTAATTAAATAAAAGAAATATTTTGGATCCATAAGGTGTCATTCACCATTTATTAATGGGTAACTTTTTAAAAAGAAATTTAAAATACATTATTCAAATTCAAGTTTTCCTGATTCTCTATGTTCAAGGTGGAGTGATTAATTTCATTTAGTTGGCTAAACCTGTAATTTCTTTCAGTTTGCTACACCTCTAATTTCACTCAGTTGGCTTAACCTTTAATCAATCCTCCCCAGTTTGCTAAACCTTTAATTTCACTCAATTGGGTAAACCTCTAATTTCACTCAGTTGACTAAACCTTTAATCTTACTCAGTTGGCTAAACCCTTAATTTGACTGTTTGCTAAAACTCTACCGTTGCTTGTGTGATTTTTTTTCCCCTTGCAAACTTTGCATAGTTCAAATAACCATCAACTTTAGTCCCTAATTGAAATAGTGCAAACTAAAATCTATCTTCTCTTATTAACTGAATTCACCTCATACAGGGACATAACAGTTTAGCACATTACATTATTTTTTAGTTATTTTTTTTGCAAAAAATGTCCATTGCTTTTGGCGTTCATCTTATAATGAGAATTGTATTGGTGGCGGAGTGAAGTATCTGTTCCAGTGAATTTGGTAGAATCTTTTTATTATTTTGAAAGGCTTGTAATGTAAGATGTTGAGATTGTTATTTTAAGTGTGACAAGCTAACATGTCTTACATAGAAGGGAGAAATTGATTTTGATTTGTTAACATTGAAAAATGTATCTCTTGTTTTTAAGCTTAGAAAAAAACAAATATGTCTATCTCCAGATACTGCTCAAGACAATGCCAGGAAGAGGACGAAGATCATCATAAAGAGATGTGTAACTTCGCCACTCCCATCCCACCTATCAAAACAGGCCAAGAAAAGTCTGTTACTAATATTTCAGCTGAAAGCAGGACATCTGTGAATTCCAATACTGGAACTAAGTCAGCACTCGGCACACATTTTCAACAAATGGTGACTGAAAGGGCACAGCCACTCAGCCAATCAGGGAACATTTTGAAGAGAGATGAATGCAAGGGGAGCACAGGCAGTGGCATATCAACAAAATCTGAGATACTGTCTGAAGTAAAACCAAATTCACAGCCTAACAAGAAGAAATTTAGTGACTTTTATCATGATTCTGATGAAGAGAACAGCAACAAGGATTCAGGACAAGAAGAGCTGGCAGGTATTAGCACATTTTAATAACATTATTTTAAATGAAACGATTTTTATCAGGAAGTTAAAGATTTAGATGTATTAACATTTAATTACACACTCATGTGTGCCGTAATAAGTAAATATAAATATCATTTTTTCATTTATTAGCATGCAACCTTTCCTCCAATGAAAATAATGTTTTGCATCATAAATATTATAACTATTACTGTTTTGTAAAAAAAAAAAAAAAAAAAAAAAAAAAAAAAAAAAAAAAAAAAAAAAAAAAAAAAAAAAAAAGCTGTCTTTCCAAATTATTATTTGACATTACGTTAAGCAGTTTTGCCTATGATAACTGAAATTTCTGTACTTTGAACACTCCAATCAACAATGGTATTTTTGAATATACTCTCCTGAAGTAATCAGTAACTACATTAACATCTACACGGTTATCCAATGAAGTGATCCTTACAAAGCTCAGCCATTACAAAAGTCTTCTCCCACTCACTGTAACAAAACCTTCTCATCACTATCAGTGTCATAGATATTCCTCAGCAAAATACTGTAAAAACTTTTGTCAATTTAAAGAATTTACAAAGAAGAAAATTGTACATTTTAGTATTTTAATACTTTGAAAAAGAAGAAATGAAGTTTTCTATGTTAAAATTTCTGTTTGATTTATAAGAATCAGTTTTATGATTTTTTAAAACTCATGTGATGGCATGGACATTTTACCAAAAGTAAATATTCAGGGTTTCTTCTAAGATGAACTGATTGCCAGATTGATGGACAGCATTTAAAAATAAAAACTCATGTTTTTTCAATTCAGCTTCCGGAATCAACAGCGAGAAATCCCAGGCTGATAGCAATGGCAAGCCAAAATTTCTGTTGGCATGTTCCAAGTGTGGCAAGGAAAGTTTTGACTTGTTATTTTGTGCTAGATGTCACTTTACCCCTTACTGCAGCAAAGACTGCCAGAGACAGCACTACCCGGAACATAAAAATTTATGCAGTAAGTTTTATATAAATATTTATGCTCTAAGTCGGTGTTTCACAAACTTTTTCTGGCCACTGCCCCCTTAAGGGCATTATCTCATCCTTGGAATTCCCGTCTTACTTCATTATTAAATTATTAGAATAATATTTATCTATGAAAAGATGATGACAAATTTAAATGTAAAATATATTAATAGTATTTATATTTAAAAAAAAAGAAATTTGTAACTTAAATTAATTTGACAATAAGCTAAATTAAACTTGATCAAGCTATACCTGACCCTTTTTTAAGTAGGATAAATATTTAGGAGTATTATATTTTCTTTAGGTTTCCATTGGTCAATTATTCTTAGGAATGTATGGATTTTTGAAAGTTATAGCAGATTTTAATTGCCTTGTCTTCAAAAATCTCAAAAAACATATAGCTGTGAAAATTTAACCATGCACATGCCATTAGATGCACAAGAACATTCGAATGAAAAAGCATACAGATTTTCAAAATCTTCACTGCTCTCAAAAAAGAGTGCCAAGTTTAGTTAATAGCTGACAACATATGCTCATATTTAATAATTACTGCAGTAATGACGCAGTTTCATTACTGACTTCATTAGAAACCCGAAAGATTTCAATGAGTATCAAAATTTGGTAAAGTTATTTTTTTATTCCAACAAGCAAAAACCCATGTGGTAGCCACATTTAAATGAAATAAAATTTGCTTATTTTTCTGTTTTTCTGGTTGTCTGTAAAATAAAATAATTGATTGAAACTTTCCTATGTTACAAGATGTACAGAAGTAGAAGCATAGCTTTTTCATCTGGAAATTCAGCTCTTCCAGTTCTAACACAATTTCTTTTGAATTTGATATACACCTTAACTTACAGATTCTATAAACTCAGAATCCCTTTGACTTCTGGTTGGAATATTAAAATTTCTTGAAAACTGTGAATTTATAAATAAACTATGCAATTGTTATGATGATGATCCACGCAAGGAATGTGTGTTATGATGAGATCAAACTTAAATATCCTTGATTAATTTTTATTCTTCCTAGTAAGGTATACAAGTATGTTTGTTGATTGTTGCTGGCTCTTATCTTTGACAGTGTGATGAGAGGTCTGTTCACTCTCTTCAAATTTTTTAGGCAAAATTATATTTATTCAGTCTGATGCCTATCATGTATGCTAATGTGATGCCTATAATCAAATCATTTTATCATATTTTTTAAATATATAATATTAAACTTTTATAAAATATTGATAAATGTTCTCCAGCATCCCCCTTGGGGGTCCCAGTGCCCCCTAAAATTTCTCATCCCACCAGCGCCCCTGGACTAACCCCCCCCCCCCTCCACCCAATTGCTCCGAGTCGTTTGTGGGAGGGGGGGGGGCATTGCAAATCAAACATTTGTAGTAATTCCATTGTCCTTTTGAGAGCCAAAGAGGCACATTGTTTAGTCTGGCCACATGAGAACAGCTTGGTTAGCACTAAAGCAAATTCACCCAGAACTTTCTAGAATGTCAAGTGTTTTGTGGGGAAGGGGGGTGGTTTGGGAAGTGAGTGGATTGATGTATGTTCTTAAGTGATATATTCCTAATTATAAATAAAAAACAATGAGACAAAAATAAACCTTAGCAATTAAAGTAGACATGTGCTAGTATAGCAGACGGGGTTGCTAATGTCCAAATTTTTTCTTTTTTTAGCCCAACTGTGATTATATCCTTGTTTAAGAGTGGCCCATTTAAATTAGAAGCTTTTTTTTATAGGGTTCTGTTTCCAACCCAACTCTATGGTGAGAACAATTGGGTGGAGTGACATCACTGGAGGGCAATACAATACTGAACTTAGGTGTAGGCCAGTTTTTTTCGAGATGCTTGAGTGGGGAGGTGTAGTTGCCTGAAAATTTTTTTTTTCTTAAATGTATTTATGATATTTCCTTTCAGAAATATAACAAGATTTCAAGATTAAATATATTTAACAAATAGAGCAGAGTATTATTATTCTATTTCTATATACAGGGAGATCCGAACTGTTTAAGAAACTGTTGACCTTTTTGAAAGAAGAGGAACATCCAAAGAGGCTGCAAAGCTATGGATTACCTCATTCAAGACCAATAAGTCCTTTACTTGTTACAATGTTTGATGAATATTTGGGTGAGTATATACATTTTCAATAAAGCTTACATCAGTAAAATATAACATAATGGCATGTAATCACATCTTTAAATATAAGTGGAGTATTTACTTAAGGAAAAAGTAGTGTAAGGGTGTAAGAAAACATGATGAGAAATATCCATTTATCCATTTACTAAGCAGCCTTAAAAAGAAGTTGCATATTTTTAAAATATATCAGTATGCCGAGTCATCCAGTAGTGGCAGTTAAAAAATATATCTGGGGTAGTAAAGCAAAATTCAGTTGTACTTTTAAGATTAATCAATTAACATTAATAACTAGCACATTATCTATGACATCATAACATTTTTTCTATAACTTACAACATTTATTCTCCATTGAAGTCCCTTCGCCATGTGTTTTGGGAAGGGAGAGGTGTCGTCCTTTACTTCTATTGCCCTGTGGATTAAAGTTGTAAATAATTTCAAAACCACATTAGGTCTGCTCATGCCCTTTTTGACCTTCTCTCACCTTATTTCCACATCTTTCCCATTTAGGGCACTGGGCTTTGCGGAATGCCACCATCTTGGGATCGAAATGGTCTTTGATAAATATTTTTAAAAATATTAGATGGTTAAATGATCATATGAGCAGTATAAAATAAATGTGAAAAAAGCCTTAGGAAAAAAATACTTAAATTGCAACATTAATCTCTATAGGCTGTGTCACTGTAGCTCCAACGCCAAGGCCTATAATAACAGTACAGATTGCGGGTCTGTATGCACACTTGTTTCGTCCAGCTGTGGTTGTAGAGGTAAGTTGTTGGTCTGCTGATATAGCCCCAAGTTTAATTTACACGGTGTTTAAAGTAACCATGGGGCATGTTGTGTTAAATTAATAATTTTACTTGATGTGTTTAATTAACCTTGTGGCATTTTATTTTACACACCATGACAAATTTAACACACCATGTTTAATTTCACCGTCATGGTGTGTAAAATTAACCAGGGTGTGTTAAATAAGTCATTTTGTGTTAAATTAACTGTAGTGTGTTAAATTAACAGTGGTGTGTTAAATTAGTTATGATGTGTTAAATCAACCATGGTGCGTTAAACTAACCATGGTGTGTTAAATCAACCATGGTGCGTTAAATTAGTCATGATGTGAGAAATTATGTGTTTTTGGCTGAGAAAATGAGGAGACTTAAGTCAATCTGTACATTTGAGTAAACACTCTATGATGTTAGAGAATTTAACGGCCTCTGTGATTTTAGAGAATTTAACGGCCGCTATGATGTTAGGGAATTTAATGGCCTCGGTGATGTTAGGGAATTTAACTGCCTCGGTGATGTTACGGAATTTAACGGCCTCTGTGATGTTAAGGAATTTAACGGCCTCTGTGATGTTAGAGAATTTAACAGGCGTCATAACCTCATTATGTCTCTTATTTATTGTTGGCTTTTGGAAGCTTGGGCCAGTGTTCAACAGTTCAGATAAAAAATGTTCAGATAAAATATTGTGTCCTCACGCCCACTCACATATTTGGGTCATTGTCCATGTTTTCACTAATTGTTTTATTTTTTTTTTTACACTTGACCCTGTTGTCAGTACAATTCAAATATAATTTTTTTTCACCTGCCTGCCTCCCCCAGCTCTCTCCACACTCCACACTCCATCCCCATATCCCCCAAAACACAATACTCTCACTGCATTGTTTAAAATTAGAATAATCAAATTAATAAAACAATCAAATTTATGAAAATTTTCATAAACTTTTTATCTTTGAAAAAACAACACAGGATGTCGTCGGTCAACAGACTCACATCATATTTCATGATGAGGTCAAGACAATGGGCTACATCAGCATAAAACATAAGGATAAGCCAGCGGAGACAAAACTGTGTGAACTGGTCCACTGTTTAAAACCTGGCAACTTCATGGTGCTGATGGATGCATTCTGGCATCACTTCATGGATGGAACAATGGGAATCCGTGTGGATGATTTAGAAACTGTCCATTTTGTTCATATGGATTAACCTAATATTTTTCTCAACTGTGATACGTTAGACTTAGAAACTTGAAATACTAAATATGCACATTTTAAAGGACATACGTAATGATCTAAATCAAGAGGATCCTACATGCTGTAGCGAATTCCAAAAATGGAAATAAAATACAATATGAAGCCGTTATTAATGCTAAATGCCTATGGGGAAAATTTTTAAAAATCCTAGTTAATTATAAAACCTATAATATTCAATACAAATTATAAGAATGCTGTGAAGAATCTATGACCGTGAAATGGGATATTACATGATCTTGGCATGACTATCAATATTTAGCATATTTAATGGCACATTTATTTTCATTTGCCAAAGTAACGGATACATGAAAAAGATTGTTAAAATTTTTTTTTATTCACATATCAACTAGAAATAATACAACAGCAGGAGGTCATCATCTTACGATCCACAAGATATAAAAACATCAGTTTTTTAAAAACAAAAATCACCAATCTTCTTACTTTAAAAAAATAACCTTCAAAACTGCACTCATAGCACATCTTTTTAAACTCTACTATCCTGACTGATACCCCCTCTGACCAAAAAACGATGCTGCTGGGTGTCGTCCATGGCTTGACATGTAAATAGTTTTTAAAAATACATTAGTTTGGTTTTATTTAATTAATGTATGTTAATTAATTTTTTAAGTTCATGATTATGTTTGTTAAATTGTGTGTACAGCGTGGTGAGCCCAGCCCTTGGCTGGAGTGCCAAGCTATATAAAACCGTTCATAATGAAAATAATAATTTGCCTTTATGGACCCTGATTATTGCATTATACCCGGTTTAGAATGACCTGAAACAAATTTTTTCTGCTTCAAGATTACCGGTTTAAGCTGTTCAATCTCCAACACAAAGTCCCCTGAAATGACCTCACAGAATGTCACACGGGTCAGGTCTAGTCTATTTGGGGATGAAGCGTGTTTTTCAAATAAACTTTATTATTATTATTATTATTATTTGGGTCTTCTGCTGTTGAGTTATCTCTGGTTTTGGGAAGTGAACTCAGTTACAGTCTATAAATATGATGAAGTCATTGCTTATAAGGTTTCTACAATGGTTTTTCTTCTCAAACAGAATCTTAGTTGGTCATTACTGACTGGCAAAAAGATTCTGTTTTATTTAGAAAATAGTGACACCCTTGTATAAATTTGTAATATCCTTGTGTAAAATTGTGACAACTCTGTATCAATTAAGATACAATTTGTGACACTGGTGTACAAGATACTGACATTCTTTTAAATTTTGAAAATATGTAAAGATTAATTATAATTTGTTACAAAATAAATATACCATTAAAATTATATAAGTATATTGTAATGGTATGGATGATATAATAGTCTATAGTTCCTTGTTTGGATGGAAAATTCAGGAACTTGATCCAAATTATCCATTTTCATGTTCAGAAATATTAAGAAATGAAATAGGCATGTATGTCATTGAAATACATGGGGCAGATACATCTTTCATGCTAAATGGCCATCATTCCTTATCATTACTGTGGCTTTTTTGTATTATCACAATTTATTGTTGTGGCTTATTTACATTTACATAATTTAAACTATATTTCCCTGACTGATTCCCCTTCTCTGACCGATAAACGATCCTGCCGGCTGCCGTCCATGGTTTGCCTTGTAAAAGTTCTGGGGTGGGATGGGTGAATATACATTTTGTTTGTTTTTTTGGTTACATGCTGTTCTTTATTACATAAATGTATTTTATTTAAATGTCATGATTATGTCTCTTTTGCTAATATTTTTATGCACAGCGCAGTGAGCCCACCCCTAGACTGGGGTACCGCACTATATAAGACCACTAATTATTATTATTATTATAATTCCTAATCAATGGTTGTGAATTATTTAAATTTACAGTGAGAAGAAAAATAAAACCTAAAAAAACAACAACACACAAGCAAAAAATTAAAAAAACCAAAAAAAAACAACTGGTTGAAGTGAAAAGATCAGTGTAAGTTAAATTATTTTTATAATTAACTGCATATCTTATCTCTTGGAAGTGGAAGGAAAATTCCTCCAAACTGTGATTCTCTATTTAAAATTTTTATTATTTTTTTTTTTTAAATTTCTTATAACACTTGTATGCCTTAATAAAAATTGTTTGAGTGTCTGATTTGCTCAGCAACAGACCATTGAATCTGTTGTATGCACTTTTTGAGTTTTTAAAACCCATGATCTATCTCTTTAGGCTGTCTATGCAACACGTGTGTTAACAAATAGTCTGAGCACATATTCTGTTGTGATTCTGAAGCTGCTCATACCAGTGCTGCCCCATTATTATTTTGTCTCATATCCTTACTAATATATATTCCATATGGCCTTATTTGCTAATTGACTGACAAATGAATCCTCAACTTTCATTTTAAAAAATAATTTCATTCCTGCATCTTCCATGTTTTTTTTTCTCTTTAACTGAATTATCCCTATGAGCCTGTCTTAGTATAAATAAAATCTGTTACATTAAATCGAAGTTATTTTTGTTTCTGCTGATTTCTCTTATCTTATATTCGTGTATAAATAGCATGAAATCTAAAAAAAGGTGCATCTATTTTCCTCTGTGTGACTGTCCTAAGTAGTAAATAAAAAAAATTTAAAAAAAAAAAAAAAAAAAAAAAATAAAAAAAAAAAAAAAAAAAAAAATTGGGGGGATTCTGGATGGAGAAAAACTTTAGGGCATCCATGTTTATAAAAACTTTAGGGCATCCATGTTTATAAAAACTTAAATGAATCTATGTTTATTATTTCATGAAGAAGTGTGGGAAAAGTAGATAACTGTGAAATAATTTGTGGTGAGGTGGAAACATTGATTATGCTACTTTGAGTTAGAGAATAATCAAGGAAACTGAATATTTTTTCTTCCAATGTTCATTTCCTAATAAAATAAAAAAAAAAGAGGCAGTTTTTTTCCGGACTATTTTTAATATAGCTATAACAGTTGCCCAAAGCCCCGCACCCTCCTAGCACCGGCCCTGTTCCTCGAATCTCTTTCCAATACTCTCGCTTAGCCTTTAATTGTCTTTCGGTCTGTGTGTCTGTGGCTTCATCTGAGCGGAGCTTTCAATAACGAAGGCTTATCAAGACATATTAACGATCCACCATGAGATAGTCAAGACTTTCTGAAAAGGCTCTACTATCAGTTGAACGTGATGCGGTGAAGCATCATGGGCGCCCGCAGGGGGGGCAAGGGGGGCACTTGCCCCCCCCCCCTGGATTGATTGGATACAATTTTTTTAGACAAAAATAGACAAAAAATTAATTAAAGTAAAGAGAAAATAAAGAGAAAGTAACTTACCTGATGTCCTGACCGTTCGTTCACCATACAAATATGCTACAGTAAATTAAAACTATATTAAAACATTACTAAAATTTTTTTGCCCCCCCCCCCGGAAAGTTAATCGATTCTTTGCCCCCCCCCCTAGAAAGTTTTCTGCGGGCGCCCCATGTGACCAGATAAGGCCTAAATAGTATTGTCAGTCAATTTATTACATAATAACTGTTCACCATGAAATACGTGCAATAATCGCCAGGACATCTCTCTGCCTTTTTGGCAATCACTCGAATAGCCTGGTGGTCATCATTTCTTAGGCCCAGTAATGCATCATCAGTGCTCAGGCCCAGGGCATTTTAAATTATACGAATCTTTATAGTCTTTAAATTCAAATTAAAAAATTTATTGGTTACAAATTTTCTTGGCCTCGTTATGGTTTTAAATATGTATATATACATATATAAAAGAAAATTAGAATTGTTGAAATCAATTTATTTTACCCCACCCACCCGTATTTTGGTCAACAATTTTGATTTTTTTTTTCACCTCTTCCCCTCTATCATGTTGACTATAATTAATGGACGNCATTACCACCCCTACGTAGTTTGTTAGCCACGAATTGTCCCCCCCCCCCCCACCCCCCCCCCCCTTCCTTTAATCCGGGCCTTGAGCCTTGAATGGACTTGTGTGTGTTAATTGATGACATATCAAGATGGGTCTCTCAGCTGTCGGGTCGAGTTATTATGGCTGTTTGTGTTCAGCTGGTAAGTCAGTTCTTTTTGTAAACACTCATCTTGGGCTATAATCAAGTAAAGTATAAAGATAAGACAAACTGTTTGTCATATTTTATTCAAATGACAGCTTTTAACTGTTAATAAATTTAATTAAATGGGAGCACTGTGGTGTATGTAGATAATTTGTACAATTTTCAAAATGAAGTTTTGCTTTAAGATTTAGTTGGTTCGATGTGGTCTGAAAAATGCAATTCATTGATACCAAATGTATGTTTGTTGGTCGATTCTAAAGAAAAATGTATTTTATTTTTGTGAATTATTTGGGATAACTAACTACAATAAAAAAACTGGTAACAGATTTGAGAAAGATGTTTAAAAAGAGCAGTAAATTGAATTTGAAGTTATTGAAGGGTTGAGGTAGGCCTACTCCGACAAAAATGAAAAAAAGGCACATTTTCGATTTAACAGTAACCATTGATATCAAATTAGAGTCAGAGTGCATTCAGTTCTGCACAATTAAATTGTGCCAGGTGTCCACTATTTGAGCGGACATTCTGCTTTTTTCCCATTATGTTCACTATTTGTTTTTTCCACCAAATAGTGGCCATTTTTTAAAAGTCAAAAGCTTTATGATGAAATTTTACGTAATCTAAAGCTGTACAGTCTAAGTCTAAGAGAATAAGGATAGGAGAATCGTGTCTTGTCTTTTTAAAAATAAAATGTAAGTTAGAATGACAAAAAGATCGAATATCGAGAGTCGAATAAAAAAAAAAGTAACGTAATTTAATATTTTACATATTATTATAAATTATTTGATGTTTTGAATTTTAAGTAAAGTTTTGAATTAATTATTTTAATACGTGATATAATGTTTGTAAGAAAATATATAATTTAATTGTAAATATTTTTAAATTTTTTTAACTTTTTACCCCCCCCCCCCCCTCCTCCCTTTTCCACTATTTTTGGAAGCAGACCTGACAACTCTAACAATTAAGTGTACCCGCTAATTATTTTAAATTTAGTTTAAATACTTCTTAAGATATGAATTCTTTGTTAAAAGGGGGTGTATCAGAATTTACCCCTTCCCCGACCAAAAAATAAAAATAAATAAATAAATTAAAAAAAGAAATCATTATACCTTTTCTGAAATAACTATTTTACAACAATGATGACCTCCCAATAATTGTTTAATACAATAATCAGTCCCTTTAAATATGGCGGCTTCCATAGAAATAGACAAAACAGTTTTGTAAATGTTATAATTTTCTTAATATTTGTTTATAATTTGTTTATACAATGCCTAGTGATAACAAATATTCAAAGAAACAAACGTTTCATGAAAATAGATGTACTAAGGTGACTAAGCCTAATACTGGACCCAATGAGCATATTTTAAATTAAAATAAAATAATCGAAACAATCTAATTACATTGGCCATTGGCATTGGGGTTGGATTTTTTGGTTGCAATTTTTAAAGACTACTTAATAATTAAAGATGAATTAGGCTTCACTAAAATTAAATACTCTAGTATAATAGTCTTGAAACATCATATGCCACGCCCACCCAGAACAGTTCAGAAATTAAATTGAAAGACATCTATGTCTATGGACCAAATGATTCTCATTTAGATTAAAGTGAAGATACAGCTAAGGCTAAGACATTTAATTTTAAATGTTTTAAGTTTAAGAGCTGTCAATAGGTATTTTGGTAAGATCCGGGAAGTGCCGAAAACCGGGTATCGTGATTTCGTTGTCAAAATGGCGACCTCCACTTTTTAATTTACAGAGAGTCACGTTGTTTACGACTTTTTAACTATATATAGCCCAGCGTGTTAATTCTATTTCCGCCCACAACTTAGAGTAGACATGTTGTGTTATGATTAGACACTTGAGTCCCCCAAAAAATTTTGGGGCTTCACTTTGAAAATTGAAGGTAAAATAACGCAATTTTTACTCATTCATATTTTTTGTGTGCAAAAGAACCTTTCATAGAATTTCAAGGACTTTATAAATAGTTGCATTAACTACAACATATCCAAGACCTGTTAATTTAGGACCATCAGTTTGGTCAGAAATTTCCTGGGAAATTTTAGTCACGTGTGTCCCAAAATTACCTATTATCGTTAATATTCGTTGCTATGGTAAATAACCTGATTTACTCTGGAAATCCAGACTATTACCCCCTAATAACTTATTTAGAAATAAAAATAAAATAATTAATAAAACAAACACATATTTTTAATATGATTTGATGCTTTTATTGAGGGATATTAGGTTAAAAAAGCCTAATTAATTACAATTAATAGTTAACTATTAGTTTTATATACTGTTGTTATATGTATACTATTAACTATATATATACATATAATATATATACATATATAATTATACATATGTGTGTATGTATATATAGAGGCCTAGAATAGTATTACTATTATAAGTGTAGGCCTATCCACC